TTGATTTTCCAATACAAAAAGAACACCTTTGCAAAAAAAATATTTTCACGAATACATATTTCCATTTACCCGAATATTAACCCCCACCCACCCTTCCACACTCCCTCCCCAACCCATTTCCCCATCCACATCCTTATCCTAAACTATAATCATTCTCACATATTTAATCCTATCTACCTCTGATGCTTGCTGTCTCGCAGATTCTCACTGAAGGCTCTCACCATATACATCCCCATCCCTCCCCATCAATTCCCCCCATTTCCAATAATAATCCTCCCCAGAGGTTATAAATATCAACCAACTGCAACACATTTTCTAATTTTTCCATATTTATCCTCCTCCCTGTGACATAGCTCCTCCATTTTAATCCAACTTCTAACCTGTCACTCTTATCTATTTTCTGAATTTTTCCATTTTTAAATCCCTCCTCCATGTGACATAAAAGCTCCATCATTTTAATCCAACTTCTCACTCTGTCACTCTGCCTGTTTCCGAAACCAAAACCCAACTCCTAAAGTCTAACACTCAATCAGATGCCAAACCCATAACTCTTCATAATCCTGACACTTGGCTTAACCCCTAATCCTCACCTTAATACTCAACCTAATCTCTGACCTCCAATCTATCTATCTCTGGTGCTGCTCTCTCTCGGATTCTCAATCAAGCATTTAATCCAACTTCTAACCTGTCACTCTTATCTATTTCCTAAACCAAAATCCAACTCCTAAATCTAACACTCAACCAGATGCCAAACCCCTGACTCTTCATAATCCTAACACTTGGCTTAACCCCTAATCCTACATTAATACTCAACCTAATCTCTGACCTCCAATCTATCTCTGATGCTGCTCTTTCTCGGATTCTCACTGAAGGCTCTCTCCTTACTTCTAAGCTTCCCCATCAATTCTCACCAGTTCCATATATCTTACAGAGGTTTGAAATTTCAACCAACTACACCACATTTTCCTGAATTTTTCCATTTTATCCTCCTCCTCCATGTGACATAGCTCCTCCATTTAATCCAACTTCTAACCTGTCACTCTTATCTATTTCCTAAACCAAAACCCAACTCCTAAATCTAACACTCAACCAGATGCCAAACCCCTTCCTTGGTTTATACCCTAATCCTAACCTTAACACTCAACCTAATCTCTGACCTCCAATCTATCTATCTCTGATGCTGCTCTCTCTCTCGGATTCTCAATTAAGGCTCTCTCCTGACTTTTTAAGCTTCCCCCTCAATTCCAACCAGTTCCATATATCTTACAGAGGTTTGAAATATCAACCAACTACACCACATTTTCCTGAATTTTTCCATTTTATCCTCCTCCATGTGACATAGCTCCTCCATTTAATCCAACTTCTCACCTGTCACTCTGCCTGTTTCCTAAACCAAAACCCAACTCCTAAGTCTAACACTCAATCAGATGCCAAACCCATAACTCTTCATAATCCTGACACTTGGCTTAACCCCTAATCCTCACCTTAATACTCAACCTAATCTCTGACCTCCAATCTATCTATCACTGATGCTGCTCTCTCTCGGATTCTCAATTAAGGCTCTCTCCTGACTTTTAAGCTTCCCCTCAATTCCAACCAGTTCCCTATATCTTACAAAGGTTTGAAATTTCAACCAACTAAACCACATTTTCCTGAATTTTTCCATTTTATCCTCCTCCATGTGACATAGCTCCTCCATTTAATCCAACTTCTAACCTGTCACGCTTATCTATTTCTTAAACCAAAACCCAACTCCTAAATCTAACACTCAACCAGATGCCAAAACTCCATTCCTAAACACTTGGTTTATACCCTAATCCTAACCTTTAACACTCAACCTAATCTCTGACCTCCATCTATCTATCTCTGATGCTGCTCTCTCTCGGATTCTCAATCAAGGCTGTCTCCTAACTTCTAAGATTCCCCCTCAATTCCAACCAGTTCCCTATATCTTTCAGAGGTTTGAAATATCAACCAACTACACCACATTTTCCTGAATTTTTCCATTTTATCCTCCTCCATGTGACATAGCTCCTCCATTTAATCCAACTTCTCACCTGTCACTCTGCCTGTTTCCTAAACCAAAACCCAACTCCTAAGTCTAACACTCAATCAGATGCCAAACCCATAACTCTTCATAATCCTGACACTTGGCTTAACCCCTAATCCTCACCTTAATACTCAACCTAATCTCTGACCTCCAATCTATCTATCACTGATGCTGCTCTCTCTCGGATTCTCAATTAAGGCTCTCTCCTGACTTTTAAGCTTCCCCCTCAATTCCAACCAGTTCCATATATCTTACAGAGGTTTGAAATTTCAACCAACTACACCACATTTTCCTGAATTTTTCCATTTTATCCTCCTCCTCCATGTGACATAGCTCCTCCATTTAATCCAACTTCTAACCTGTCACTCTTATCTATTTCCTAAACCAAAATCCAACTCCTAAATCTAACACTCAACCAGATGCCAAACCCCTGACTCTTCATAATCCTAACACTTGGCTTAACCCCTAATCCTCACCATTAATACTCAACCTAATCTCTGACCTCCAATCTATCTACCTCTGATGCTGCTCTCTCTCTTGGATTCTCACTGAAGGCTCTCTCCTTACTTCTAAGCTTCCCCATCAATTCTCACCAGTTCCATATATCTTTCAGAGGTTTGAAATATCAACCAACTGCAACACATTTTCCTGAATTTTTCCATTTTATCCTCCTCCATGTGACATAGCTCCTCCATTTAATTCAACTTCTAACCTGTCACTCTTATCTATTTCCTAAACCAAAACCCAACTCCTAAATCTAACACTCAACCAGATGCCAAACCCCTTCCTTGGTTTATACCCTAATCCTAACCTTAACACTCAACCTAATCTCTGACCTCCAATCTATCTATCTCTGATGCTGCTCTCTCTCTCGGATTCTCAATCAAGGCTGTCTCCTAACTTCTAAGATTCCCCCTCAATTCCAACCAGTTCCCTATATCTTTCAGAGGTTTGAAATATCAACCAACTGCACCACATTTTCCTGAATTTTTCCATTTTATCCTCCTCCATGTGACATAGCTCCTCCATTTAATCCAACTTCTCACCTGTCACTCTGCCTGTTTCCTAAACCAAAACCCAACTCCTAAGTCTAACACTCAATCAGATGCCAAACCCATAACTCTTCATAATCCTGACACTTGGCTTAACCCCTAATCCTCAGCTTAATACTCAACCTAATCTCTGACCTCCAATCTATCTATCACTGATGCTGCTCTCTCTCGGATTCTCAATTAAGGCTCTCTCCTGACTTCTAAGATCACCCTTCAATTCCGACCAGTTCCCTATATCTTTCATAGGTTTGAAATTTCAACCAACTACACCACATTTTCCAGAATTTTTCCATTTTATCGTCCTCCATGTGACATAGCTCCTCCATTTAATCCAACTTCTCACCTGTCACGCTACCTTTCCTAAACCAAAACCCGACTCCTAAGTCTAACACTCAACCAGATGCCAAACCCCTAACTCTTCATAATCCTAACACTTGGCTTAACCCCTAATCCTCACCTTAATACTCAACCTAATCTCTGACCTCCAATCTATCTATCTCTGATGCTGCTCTCTCTCGGATTCTCAATTAAAGCTCTCTCCTGACTTCTAAGCTTCCCCCTCAATTCTGACCAGTTCCATATATCTTTCAGAGGTTTTGAAATATCAGCCAACTACACCACATTTTCCAGAATTTTTCCATTTTATCCTCCTCCATGTGACATAGCTCCTCCTTTTAATCCAACTTCTCACCTGTCACTCTACCTATTTCCTAAACCAAAACCCGACTCCTAAGTCTAACACTCAACCAGATGCCAAACCCTGACTCTTCATAATCCCTAACACTTGGTTTAACTCCTAATCCTCACTTTAACACTCAACCTAATCTCTGACCTCCAATCAGACTCATTGGAGCTTAATAATGAGCGAGCCCACCCACAATATATTCCACGCAAAAAAATATTTTTGTTGATAGATATTAGAATATTATTAGCATATTAGAATAAATACATCAGAAAAGAAAGCATATGCGTAATGCTGATATTAGAATATTTACAACAACCACTAATATTACATATGTCTTCTTATTCATAAATATACATATACAGTATCTCCCAGAAGTGAGCCTCCCCCCCCCCCCCCCCCTCACATTTTTGTAAATCTTTGATTCTATCTTTTCATGTGACAACACTGAAGAAATGACACTTTGCTACAATGTGACGTAGTCAGTGTACAGCTTGTATAACATGGAAATTTGCTGTCCCCCCTCAAAATAACTCAACACACCGCCATTAATGTCTAAACTGCTGGCAACAAAAGTGAGTCCACCCCTAAGTGACAAGGTCCAAATTGGGCCCAAAGTGTCAATATTTTGTGTGGCCGCCATTATTTTTTAGCACTGCCTTAACCTTCTTGGGCATGGAGGTCACCAGAACTTCACAGGTTGCCACTGGAGTCCTCTTCCACTCCTCCATGACGACATCACAGAGCTGGTGGATGTTAGAGCGACCTTGCGCTCCTCCACCTTCCGTTTGAGGATGCCCCACAGATGCTCAATAGGGTTTTGGTCTGGAGACATGCTTGGCCAGTTCATCACATTTACCTTCAGCTTCTTTAGCAAGGCAGTGGTGGTCTTGGAGGTGTGTTTGGGGTCGTTATGTTGGAATACTGCCCTGCGGCCCAGTCTCTGAAGGGAGGGGATCATGCTCTGCTTCAGTATGTCACAGTACATGTTGGCATTCATGGTTCCCTCAATGAACTGTAGCCCCCCCAGTGCCGGCAGCACTCATGCAGCCCCAGACCATGACACTCCCACCACCATGGGGCCCAGACCATGACACCCCCACCACCATGACAGACCTGACACCCCACCACCATGCTTGACTGTAGGCAAGACACACTTATCTTTGTACTCCTCACCTGGTTGCCGCCACACACGCTTGACACCATCTGAACCAAATCAGTTTATCTTGGTGTCATCAGACCACAGGAGATGGTTCCAGTAATCCATGTCCTTAGTCTGCTTGTCTTCAGCAAACTGATTGTAGTCTTTCTTGTGCATCATCTTTAGAAGAGGCTTCCTTCTGGGACGACAGCCATGCAGACCAATTTGATGCAGTGGTATATGGTCTGAGCTCTGACAGGCTGACCCCCCACCCCTTCAACCTCTGCAGCAATGCTGGCAACACTCATGCATCTATTTCCCAAAGACAACCTCTGGATATGACGCTGAGCACGTGCACTCAACTCCTTGGTCGGCCATGGCGAGGCCTGTTCTGAGCGGAACCTGTCCTGTTAAACCGCTGTATGGTCTTGGCCACCGTGCTGCAGCTCAGTTTCAGGGTCTTGGCAATCTTCTTATAGCCTAGGCCAGTGGTCGGCAAGCCGCGGCTCGCGAGCCAAATGCGGCTCTTTACACGCTTTAATGCGGCTCTTGTGTGCCGGGCGCCCGCTCCCCTCCCTCCTCTCGGGCAGCAGGGACTCTGCAGCGGATCCAAAAAAAAAACAGCCAGGGCAGCGCGCTCAAATGCAATGATTGGCCAGTCTCGCTGCCACTCACATCCTGATAGCCAGTGATTGGCTGTCAGGATGTGTGTAGGCGGGGCAGCATGACGAACATGAGAGGAGCTAGGCTCCTCTCACAGTCCGCCCTGAAGACCGGAACGGCGCGTGAGAACACGGCGAGAGGAACGCGCGGAGCAAAGGTAAGTGAATTGACACAGGGGGGACTTGGCTTACTACTTGCTACTTACTACTACTATATGAGGGATGAATTAATATGGGGGATGAATTACTATATGAGGGATGAATTAATATGGGGGATGAATTACTATAGGGGGGATGAATTACTATATGAGGGATGAATTAATATGGGGGATGAATTACTATATGAGGGATGAATTAATATGGGGGATGAATTACTATATGAGGGATGAATTAATATGGGGGGATGAATTACTATGGGGGATGAATTACTATATGGGGGATGAATTACTATGGGGGATGAATTACTATAGGGGGGATGAATTACTATATGGGGGATGAATTACTATGGGGGATGAATTACTATATGAGGATGAATTACTATATGGGGGATGAATTACTATGGGGGATGAATTACTATATGGGGGATGAATTACTATATGGGGGGATGAATTACTATGGGGGATGAATTACTATATGGGGGATGAATTACTATATGGGGGATGAATTACTATGGGGGATGAATTACTATGTGGGGGATGAATTACTATATGGGGGATGAATTACTATGGGGGATGAATTACTATATGGGCAATGAATTACTATGGGGGATGAATTACTATAAAAACTTATTGAAACTAAAAACAGTGTGTACCATTCTATGTATTTTCAGTTTTAAAAATGTGGCTCTCAAAATAAATTTCAATCGTGGTTTTGGCGAGATTTGGCTCAGTTGAAAAAAAAAGGTTGCCCACCACTGACCTAGGCCATCTTTATGTGGAGCAACAATTCTTTTTTTCAGATCCTCAGAGAGTCCTTTGCCATGAGGTGCCATGTTGAACTTCCAGTGATCAGTATGAGAGAGTGAGAGCGATAACACCAAATGTAACCCACCCACTCCCCATTCACACCTGAGACCTTGTAACACTAACGAGTCACATGACACGGGGAGGGAAAATGGCTGATTGGCCCCAATTTGGACCTTGTCACTTAGGGGTGGACTCACTTTTGTTGCCAGCAGTTTAGACATTAATGGCGTTAGTTTTTGAGGGGACAGCAAATTTCCATGTTATACAAGCTGTACACTGACTACGTCACATTGTAACAAAGTGTCATTTCTTCAGTGTTGTCACATGAAAAGATAGAATCAAATATTTACAAAAATGTGGGGGGGGGACTTCTGGGATATACTGTATATGGCAACAGTCAAAGTGGAAATATTTATACAGTATTCAACATGATTTACTTCTTAGGCCCTATAGGCTTGGCTGTGTAGGTCAAACCATACATGAAGTACGTGCAAGGATTAGTAGGCATTAAAGTGACATCCAGAATTTCAAGTTTGCCTCTCTGGTGGCTCAACATTTCTGAAGAAACCATTATGCTTCTCATTTAGCTTGTATAATGATTGAACAAGTACTTCAAGCCAAAAGAGTTGGGAATTTCTTGGACAGAATGTCAGGATGAGAACTCCAATGTTTTTTCAGATTAGACACCCTACACAAGCCTTTATCAAACAGGGAGTCTCCAAAGGTTTCTTTCTAGGGGTTCCTGGAGCATGACAATTGTCTGACCCACAGGTAAGTAACCACTGACACCAAAGACTCTACATCTATCTGTAAAGGAGGCATTTTGCCACTAACCACCAGTGTAAGGGGCATTCTTCCCACTGACCCCCAATGTAAGGAACATTCTTCCCACTAATCACCAATGTAAGGGGCATTCTTCCCACTGATCACCAATGTAAGGGACATTCTTCCCACTGATCACCAATGTAAGGGGCATTCTTCCCACTGACCCCCAATGTAAGGAACATTCTTCCCACTAATCACCAATGTAAGGGGCATTCTTCCCACTGACCCCCAATGTAAGGGACATTCTTCCCACTGATCACCAATGTATGTAAGGGGCATTCTTCCCACTGACCCCCAATGTAAGGGACATTCTCCCCACTGACCCCCAATGTAAGGGACATTCTTCCCACTGACCCCAATGTAAGGAGCATTCTTCCCACTGATCACCAATGTAAGGGACATTCTTCCCACTGACCCCCAATGTAAGGGACATTCTTCCCACTGACCCCCAATGTAAGGGACATTCTTCCCACTGATCACCAATGTAAGGGACATTCTTCCCTCTGACCCCCAATGTAAGGGACATTCTTCCCACCCCCAATGTGACCCCCAATGTAGGGACATTCTTCCCACTGATCACCAATGTAAGGGACATTCTTCCCACTGATCACCAATGTAAGGGACATTCTTCTCACTGACCCCCAATGTAAGGAGCATTCTTCCCACTGACCACCAATGTAATGGACATTCTTCCCACTGACCACCAATGTAAGGGACATTCTTCCCACTGACCCTCAATGTAAGGGACATTCTTCCCACTGACCCCCAATGTAAGGGACATTCTTCCCACTGACCACCAATGTAATGGACATTCTTCCCACTGACCCCCAATGTAAGGGACATTCTTCCCACTGACCACCAATGTAAGGGACATTCTTCCCCCTGACCTCCAATGTAAGGAATTCTTACTGCTGATTACTATTGTACAGTAATGGGGCCCTTCTCCACTGACCCCCCCCCCCCTCCCCAGAGTCAAGGGTATGAGTCTACTGACCATCAACAGGAAATAGGGGAAACTACAACGTGTCTGCATTTATTTTCCGGCTAGTCTTATTGTTTGTTTCAATTCATTACTAAAAATGATTTTATTGTATAGGGCAGCCACGAGTGTCATATAGGCCAAGTACGCCACGTTCTTTATTCTTCTATACTTATGTCCAGCCTGAGCTGTAAATGTAATCATTAGTAAGGGTTCCCTGAAAACTAAAAGTTATTTCATTGTTTCTTCATTGTTAAAAGGGTTGAGAAATGTGTCCTCCACCTAGAGGCATGAATGTAGAATGCAATCTTTCTGCCTTTCTATGAACTAGGTATTCTATATATTGGATTCCACGCTTTAAGTCTATACTCACCTTTGATACATAGCATTCTACACATATGTGCTGAACGTGTGCCTATTATCTATTGATTTGTAAGGTCATGTTAACTTTATGTGTATTATTTTTTGTAACAGTGTATTCTTCTGTTCTTTTTTTAGTGGGGACCTTGGACATTCCCCAAGTGTTCACTGCAGCCCACTGAACTGGACTCCCAAGCTGAAGATGTTCTCTGTGTTTTGTACTTTAACACCCAGAGTGCCTGCACCACCCCACCTCTTTAGGGCTGGCAGTGCCTCAACAACGGTTTATATAGTGAACTAGGTGTAGTTATTCCAACACAACAAACACTTTACTCCTGCGCTAGGAAAGGACTCAGTAGACCCAATAGGAATGTTCTGGAATTTTCTGGAATATGCACTGCTTGCTGCCCTCAACAGACCGGGGTGGTCCGAATACACTGGATGCAAATGGAGAAACAGAAAAAGGGCGCACCGACCTAGTGCATTATTGTTTAAAATAATTTATTAAAGAAACAAAAATAGGTATCATACTCACAATGGACATAATAACACAGGCATGTCAAACTGAACAAGACGTATGATCCAAACAACATCCGATGGAAGCCTGGATGACCAACTGGCTAACGCGTTTCGAGGACATAACCTCTTCCTCAGAGCCAACACTCAACACTTGGCTCTGAGGAAGAGGTTATGTCCTCGAAACGCGTTAGCCAGTTGGTCATCCAGGGTTCCATCGTGTGAACTTTGGATCATACGTCTTGTTCAGTTTGACATGCCTGTGTTAATATGTCCATTGTGAGTATGATACCTATTTTTGTTTCTTTAATAAATTATTTTAAACGATAATGCACTAGGTCGGTGCGCCCTTTTTCTGTTTCTCCATTTGTATCCAGGTGTAGAGTTATTCACCCTGAGGTCATCACAGAGGACAAGGAGGCGCTCTTTACGTCTGGAGGAAAATAAATTTATCTCCAAACACGGAAAGGTTGCAACTCAATGCATTTAGGCATCTAGTCGTGGTAAAGACGACTTGCTGAAGTCCAAACTGAGCATCAAAAAGGGGAAGAAAGGGGATTTAGGTGACTTTGAACATGGCGTGGTTCAAAGTCACCTCTAGGATTTACAGAGAATGGTCCAAAAAAGAAAAAAAATATCTAGTGAGTGGCTGTTGTGTGGAGGAAAATGCCTTGTTGAGGTCAGAGGAGTTTGGTGGAGGGGGAATTATGGTGTGGGGTTGCTTTTCAGGGGTTGGGCTTGGCCCCCTAGTTTAGGTGACTTTGAACATGGCATGGTTCAAAGTTACCTCTAGGGTTTGCAGAGAATGGTCCAAAAAATAAAAAAATATCTAGTGAGTGGTTGTTGTGTGGAGGAAAATGCCTTGTTGAGGTCTGAGGAGTTTGGTGGAGGGGGAATTATGGTGTGGGGTTGCTTTTTAGGGGTTGGGCTTGGCCCCCTAGTTTAGGTGACTTTGAACATGGCATGGTTCAAAGTCACCTCTAGGGTTTGCAGAGAATGGTCCAAAAAATAAAAAAATATCTAGTGAGTGGCTGTTGTGTGGAGGAAAATGCCTTGTTGAGGTCAGAGGAGAATGGGCAGACTGGAGATGATAGAAAGGCAACAGTAACTCAAATAACCACATATTAAAACCAAGGTATGCAGAATACCATCTCTGAACACACAACACGTTGAACCTTGAAGCAGATGGGCTACAGCAGCAGAAGACCACACCGGGTGCCACTCCTGTCAGCTAAGAACAAGAAACGGAGGCTACAATTCACACAGGTTTACTAAAATTGGACAATAGAAGATTGGAAAAACTTTGCCTGGTCTGATGAGTCTCAATCTCCCTAGAGATGGTTGTGTGTGAAAACAAGTAGATCAGCAGCTTTTGAAATACTCTGACCGGCCCGTCTGGCACCAACAACCAGGCCATGGTCAAAGCCACTTAAATCCCCTTGGTTCCACATTCTGATGCTCCGTTTGAACTTCAACAAGTCATCTTCACCTCATCTAGATGCCTAAATGCATTGAGTTGCTGCCATGTAATTACCCTCCCCTCCTTCCTTCCACCTACCCCTCCCTTCCTCCCCTCCTTCCTTCCACCTACCCCTCCCTTCCTCCCCTCCTTCTTTCCACCCACCCCGTCTTTCCACCCACCCTTCCTTCCACCCACCGCCACCCCCCTCTGCCAATCCCTCCACTGGCTCCACCCCCCTCTGCCAATCCCTCCAATGGCTTCCGATTGCGCAACGGATCAAATTCAAAATCCTAACACTGACGTACAAAGCCGTCCACCATACTGCCCCGAACTACATCACTGACCTAATATCCAAGTACCGCCCAACACGCACACTCCGCTCCTCACAAGACCTCCTTCTCTCTAGTTCCCTGGTCTCCTCCTCTCATGCCCGCCTCCAGGACTTCTCCAGGGTGTCACCCATCCTCTGGAACTCCCTGCCCCAACCCATCAGATTATCACCTACTCTCCTCTCCTTTAGGCTCACCCTGAAAACCCATCTCTTCAGGGAAGCCTACCCCACCCCCTGCTAACTTGCCGACCTCCTCCACTCTTCCTACCACCCCATCCCCCACAGCTATCTCCTCCTGTACCACCATCCCCTCCCTCCTAGATTGTAAGCTCCAAAGAGCAGGGCCCTCAATCCCCTCATGTTTTGCATTGTATTGGTATTGTTCTGTCACATGTTCTGTCCCCCTTTGTAATGTACAGCGCTGAGCGAACCATTGGCGCTTTATAAATACTGTATAATAATAATAGCCTACCATGCCTAGGAATGCCCTTAACTGTCCTAAAGTGGTAGGCCCAAAAATCATTTTCAATGCTGCGATTCTGTCAGGTGTAAAGTGTTTTGCTCCTAGTGAAATGCAATGACCTAGAAAGATCACAATCTCTTGCATAATGGCCAAATTTGTTGCAATTGTAACATCGAACCTTTGACCGTGATGTACGGTTCGTCAAGTCACCGTCTGGTCTAACTGCCTACCTGGGACCCACCTGAATAATCTATCAATTTGTATCATATCAGACATAGCCGATGTAGATCTAAAGGAGATTATACCGAAAATGGTTGGAAGGTGGTATAGTACCGAGGGAGCCTTCCCCAATTTATGTACCTGCTCTCAAGAATTAAGGCTGATCAATAGCTGATCGAATTAAACATACTGTATATTTGGTAATACTTTCAATAAAATTGATTTTAGGCACTAAGAAAAATGCCATAAATCAAACACTAATCAGCACAGTATGGGGGGAGGGGGACCAGGAGGGTACAATTCTGCAATCGGGAGGGCACAGTGCAGGTTCCAGGATGCTGCCCAGGACACAGCCATCCCGGGACAGCTAAGCAAAAAGTATGACTGTCCCAGCAAATCCGGGACATTTGTAATGCAAGATTATCATGGGGCCCAAATGCACCTGGGGCCTCTGGACAGTGCCCAGGGGGTGTCCACGCATTAAGATAACCATGCAAGGGAGGTGCGGTCCAGAGTGGTGAACACACCTTATCATGCCCTTTTCTGTGAAGCAGCAAGGCGGTGCATTCTGGGCTTCAAAGCTTCCAGGTTGTCACATGATCTACAGGAAGCAATGGAAGAAAAAATAATTTTTCAAACACATGAAATTTCAAAGCTTGTAAGAGGTAAGTGAGAGATAAGCACATTGGGATGGCTGGACCAGAAATCCCAACAGGAGCCGCTTCTATATATTATAAAAAGTGAAATTCTGCCAGAAAAGGTGAACTTAGCCTTTAAATTCCATAGAAATCCTTTCCAATGACTTCAATAAATAAGTATTACTGTGGTACAGTCAATATATTCTAATCAGCCCATTGCGCCTCCAGGCTTGGAAAGCTTCATAATCACTATTCTTTGGAAAATAATTATCCTGCATTGGCAAATACTTTGATGCATAGAGAGATATTCCCTGTTTTTTCCTCAGCTCTGTCCAACCTATTATTGTATCTCTATAAAGTAAATACATTTTCAGACTTGTAGGCAGATATCTTATCTTGGTATGTAAAGCAGAAAGATTCCAGGGAGAGGTTTGTTCTATCTCTATCTCTAAATAAGAATACCTTATTGTCAGCCAGTCCAAGGCATGTCTCAATAAACAGGCCAATAAAGTCGAATTTTCAGAAGACCAAGAATGCCTTTATAAAGTGGCAGTAGATCTTGATATCCATAGTCTTTTCCCATGCCATAAAAACCTAGTCCTAGCCTTTGTTATTCAACTCACATCTTTATGTTTAAGAAGAATTGGTGGTGTTTGTAAAGGATAGAGAAGACGGGCTAAACTCACCATCTTGATTAAAATAGTGACCCCCAAACAAAGAAGGTGGAAGCTCAGTCCACATCTCCAGTTCTTTAACTAGCTTGTTTATCAGTGATGGACATTTCATCTTCCCACTGACCTCCAATGTAAGGAGCATTCTTCCACTGACCTCCAATGTAAGGGACATTCTTCCCACTGACCTCCAATGTAAGGGACATTCTTCCCACTGGCCACCAATGTAAGGGACATTCTTCCCACTGACCTCCAATGTAAGGGACATTCTTCCCCCTGACCACCAATGTAAGGTGCATTCTTCCCACTGACCCCCAATGTAAGGACATTCTTCCCACTGATCACCAATGTAAGGGACATTCTTCCCTCTGACCCCCAATGTAAGGGACATTCTTCCCACTGATCACCAATGTAAGGGACATTCTTCCCACTGACCTCCAATGTAAGGAACATTCTTCCCACTGACCCCCAATGTAAGGAGCATTCTTCCCACTGATCACCAATGTAAGGGACATTTCTTCCACTGACCACCGATGTAAGGGACATTCTTCCCACTGACCACCAATGTAAGGGACATTCTTCCCACTGATCACCAATGTAAGGAGCATTCTTCCCACTGATCACCAATGTAAGGAGCATTCTTCCCACTGATCCCCAATGTAAGGAGCATTTTCCCACTGATCACCAATGTAAGGGCATTCTTCCCACTGATCCCCAATGTAAGGGACATTCTTCCCACTGATCACCAATGTAAGGAGCATTCTTCCCACTGACCTCCAATGTAAGGGACATTCTTCCCACTGACCTCCAATGTAAGGGACATTCTTCCCACTGACCACCAATGTAAGGGACATTCTTCCCACTGATCCCCAATGTAAGGAGCATTCTTCCCATTTTTCTTTATTAAAAGTCTCGCAATCAATAAACATAAAATATTATACAGAATGATAAAAAAATTATATATATTTACAGCAAAAACGAAAATAAACATAGCAAAAATCTGCTGTCAGACAAAAGCAAACGTCTCAGAAATGAACATGACATAATTGGGGAAATAAATCGTACTACCACTCACATCACTACACCAGACATCAAACCTGTGAGGTCAAGAAACCACCCCCCCCCTTATGCATGCAGCCCTTCTTCAAAAAAGATCTTAATCAACAAAAACTACGGGAGTGAAAAGAACAGTATAAGGAAAGACCCCCTCACCCAGAGATGGACAGTTCACCAAAGGCAGGTCTGATATTCCTCCATGCCCTTATCCAGACCGCCCGAGGCTCTCTGCCCTTCTCAAGACCCCGAATCTTCCCAACCTCACCCAGAATATCGTGCACCACCACCTCTACAGGGAGGACTTTCTTCCGGATGGTAATCTGACACCGTGCGTTCCATGTGAAGTAACGGACAACTATACTAACTAGAAAAAGTGTATCCAAATCAAAGTCCCAGTGAGCTGGGAATGCCCCGTACACCCACTCTGCATAACTCATGCGATAGAGAAAGGGGATGCCCAGAACCCTCCACTCCCCACCCTTTTATACACCTCTATGTTAAAGGGACACAGGAGCAGAAAGTGGTCCATAGACTCCACCTTACCAACACACTCTGCTCTAGGACAATCTCGATCATCCACAGGGCGGTGCTTCAGGTTCCCTCTCACATAGAGCCTTCCATGGAAAGCGAGCCAGGCTTGATCCCTAAACTTCAAAGGGATTCTCTCCAAGTTAATTAAACGCAATCCCTCCCTCATTACGGAGCCTGGCAATCCTTTAAGGCCAGTGACACACTGAAAGCAGAAGCCCAAAATCCTCTCCCCCAGAAGCTTCCTGGGAAGGGACCTGATATCCTCCACTGTCACCTGCCACTGCCGAAGTATTTTCAGACACAGGGCAACATAAGCCGGGAGCTTGCCATGTCGGACTCTCAGACTTTTCACTGGGCCGCCATCTTCCCAGCAATGCAGAAAAGGCCTAAACCAAGACTGAAAAATACCCACATCCCGGCGGGGTCTCTGCTAACATATTACCAAGATTGTACTTTAAAAAGAGCAAAGAAAAGAAAACTATCGGGTTGACCATTCCTAGGCCACCCTCCCACCTGGACAGGTAAGTTACATTGCGTTTGATCAGGTTCAGCCTGTTTCCCCATAACAGTTGGAAAAAACAGCTGTAGACCGTGCATAGAGAGATACTGGCAAGATACAGACGAAGCTGACATATAAAAAGATCGGGTCAGGTAAGTTTTGATCAAGTCAACCCTCTCTCTCAAGGAAAGCCTCCATCTCTTCCAGCTTGCTACTTTGGCATTGACAACTACCAACCTGCTTTCCCAGTTTTGATGACCATAGTCACCAGGACCAAATTTGATGCCCAAAATTTTAATTTCCTGCTGGGGCTCTGGGAAGGCATCCGGAAGTTCAAAGCTTTCACCCTCCTCACCCATCCAGAAAACTTCACTCTTTTCATGGTTGACTTTAGAGCCAGAAGCCTCCGTGTACTGCTCTATCACAGAGACTCCACCTCCTGCGCCTCCTCAGTCCCAGAGATAATAACAGACACATCATCAGCATAGGCAACGACCTTCAAAGGCGGCACACCAGCAATGCCCAGAGGCACCCCACACAAAGATGCGCCCTCTAGCCTTCTTACAAAGGGGTCGATTGCGAAAGCATATAGCAGGGGGCTCGAAAGGACATCCTGGCGCACACCAGAGCCGACCTCAAAAGGCCGCCCAACCCAACCATTAACAAGTGGGAAGCTCTCAGCCCCTTTATATAATGTCTTCAGCCAATCTATAAAACCTCCCCTGCAGGCCGTATCTACCAAGCAGCAACCACAGATATTCATGATTCACTCGATCAAAAGCTTTTGCCTGATCCAATGCCAGCAAGTACTTTCTCCATCCAGCAGCCCTGCATCGTTCCAAAGCCTCCCGGATAGCCAAAACTGCTGAAAAGGTACTTCTACCTTGGACCGAACAGTGCTGATGGATGCTGGACAACAACTCTCCTGCTACTGACGACAAGAGCCAAAAAAGAATCTTTGCCAAGATCTTTCTATCAACATTGAGAAGACTGATGGGGCGCCAGTTCTCAAACATTGAGGGGTCTTTACCTTTTGACAGAAGAATCACAGTGGATTGCCTCATGGGGGGAGGGAGCGAACCTTCTTCTAGACAGCTGTTTTAAAAACCTCCGCTAAAAAGGGAGCCAGAATGGACTTAAAACACTTGTAAAATTCAGCTGTCAATCCATCTGGCCCAGGCGATTTTTTGGTAGCCAGCTTGTCTATAGCATGAACTACCTCATCTGCTGAAATTGGTTCTGTCAAATTCATCAAAAGCAATGCACCATTTCCCAATCCTGGAGTAGAATCCAGAAAGCTTTCCATCCTGTCCGGCTAAGGTCCTTTCTTCCCAGGAGGTCTGCATAATACGACCCAAAGATCTCCAAGATCCCTGATCTGGACTTTATCAGGGAACCTGTACTGTCTTTCAGGCCAATGACCGTCTTAATTGCTATGCCTTGCTTACAGTTCTGGTAAGGATCAGGTGAGTGATATTTCCCATAATCCCTCTCCAGAAACCAAGGAGGCATGCCGGTCGTATTGACACTTCCTAAGAAGAAGCTTCACTTCAGAGATCTCCCCTGGATCTCCTCCATACGAGACAAGACGATCAAGCTTCCTCCGCAAATGCTGGTAGGCAATATACATACCAAGCTGCTTCTTCTTACTTATGGCCTTGAAAAGTCCAATCGCCCTTTGTTTCACAAGCTCCCACCACTCTGACTTACTGCTGCAAAAGTCCAGAATAGAAACCTGTGCCGGAAAAAAAATCCTCAAAGGATTGTCTTACCTCTACATCTTCCAGGAGAGCCGAATTCAGTTTCCAGACACCCCTTCCCCTGAGTGGAGTGTCCAAGGCATTCAGAGTCACAGACAGCATACAGTGGTCAGAGAACTCCACCGCCTTCAACTCAGGAGCTGGGAAAGCAGAGTTCTCCTTTAAAAAAAACCTGTCTATCCTGCTCTGACTATTCCCTCTCTGAAATGTGAACCCCGTGCTGCCAGGGCAGTGCTTAATGTGCACATCTACCAGGCCTGCCTGTCTAACCAAATCTCTGAGAGAAAAACGCTATCATAACCCAGCCTGTCTATGGAGCCTCTCCTGTCTTCAGGCCTAATTATGGTGTTAAAAGTCACCTCCAAAGACAACCTGCTGGGACGTAAAAAGGAAGGGCTTGATCTTTGTGAGGAGGCATTTCCTGCCCCATTTTGACTGGTGTCTTGGAAATTCGCTTTAACGAATTTCTCCTTACCGTGAGTACTCGCAGTTGGATGCGCAGAAATCCCCCATAAAGCTGTGTGAATCTCGCTTACCACGACTGTAGCTAAACTACACGATTCCTGCCCATCCAACTACTTTTAGCTTCTGTTGAAATGTGGGGATGATGGAGCTCCGTTACCCTAGAATGATCAACGACACTCTCAGGATGATGGTTGAATTCACATAAGGGCTGGTTTCAGACTCAGCCCCTGGTTTATTAAAAATACACACATGCCCCCCACATGAATAAAGTCAATCCCCTCCCACCGAACAATGCAATGGGGAGTGCCTATACACAGATGTACATTCCGATTGGAGCATAGCCTTTCCTATTATCTATCACTGGTCCTCCCCCATGAGCCTTCTGAGGTCAGCAGACTTCCTCCCCTTCCCCCCCATGAGCCATCTGAGGTCAGCAGACTTCCTCCCCTTCCCCCCCATGAGCCATCTGAGGTCATATTTCCTGTCCTACTAGCTCCCATTGGCATGCAAATCCTTTGTACAAGTATTCCCTAAGCTAAACACCAGTCTGTACCTGGATGGGCCCGATACGATCTTTATTAAAACACATCCATCCAAGATACAGTTTCAAGTTGGTAATGGGTTGTAAGATATGCATAAGCCTACACGTGGAGTTCACACCGCTTGGCGCCTTGCGTTATGAAGCCCATGTGGGTACTATGCTGCTGATATGTGGATACAGGCCCACGGTCTACTGCCAGCGACATTCGCATCGAATGCCGTGTGGTATACACGCCGGTCTATAAGCGCAGATCTGCCATCTCATCCATTACCAAGCCGAGTACTGTAATACATACATTGTACATGCGCATGGCCCAATTGCAGCCTTCAGAGCTTTAATTAAGCCACACGAGAGACATATGAATAACACTCATATATGACACATTTAAAGTTCGACCAACAATACAAAATTTCCATGACACTGGGGTCCATAGATATTGATCAAACGCAGGTCCTGCCCCCTAACAGAGACGTCTAAGACCATGCATCTCCCCATTTCTACCTCAATTACCCGCCGGCACGTTACCATATCGGTTTTAAAAAGCACCGCAACTCCGCTGCAAGGTTCAGCCGCAAGAGACCAAAAGGAGGGACCACATCTT